TCATTGTGACAGGATTATCCCAAACCTGGTTGTAATCTGCACCGTACACATGATGGATTTTTACAATGTGACAAGAGAAACAAGCAGCGATCCCGGGTTCCACGGCAGCGTCGGGCCGCCGTGTCCTCGCTGATCACTGCTGACAGACTTTATCACCTCAGAGCAACGCGGGCGTCAAAATGAGATTTCATTAGCGCATCACCTTGAGACTTTTCACAAACACAAAGAGATGAGATCCTCTTGGGGTTCCGGCACGCGACTGATGAATTATGGGATTTTTCCCGCTGGAAGACACTTTGCAGACGGAAAGAGGGAGCTATTCTTGAACGACACTTCCCTGAAATATTGATGACAGCGGCGCATCCCGGAGGCAAAGAAGCAAATACGATTTCAACCAAGAGGGTATTCAGGACGAATAACACAGCTCTTAGGATGAAGGGTTGGACAGTTCCTCTTCATCAACAGCCGGATGAACGGACCGACCTCGCTGATTGTGACCACGGCCACGAGCCGGGGACTGAGGCGAACCGCCCAAAGCTCGCTTTGTATCCTCCCTGTTTGATCTAAAACGCAACAAGCCAGAGTGAAATCGCTCATCGTCAGCTGTCGGACGGTGGGCGGGCCTTCTGAGTCCTTGCGTTGGGCATTTGGGCCGGCCCCCATCTTTCTGCGATGAGGAGTGACGTACAGCAAAAGAGTCACGGTTACCTTTTCACGCACCAACACGTGGAAAAAGGTTGCGAGACAAAAACACAGGCGACCCCGTGGTTAACACAACGTAACCACAGCCAAAGCTTCGCCGGTTCTACTAAATGGGACCAGCAGACAACAGGAACTAATAAGACAATAAACTCCTGTTTACAGTGTTTACTGAGGTTACAAATCAAGAGAGAAGTGGGGTCATTTTCCCTTTGTTTTTCACCCCGAGGAGTCGCCCCCTGCTGGTCAGTAGAGAGAATCCAGGTTTGCCGTGTGTGTGTCTACCTGGTTGAGGGTCAGAGGTCAGGCTGCTGTGGACACGCCTGCAGCTGCTAACAGGGCGGCTTAAAGCAGCCGTGTTTGTGCACGTTGATCTCACACATTTACAGCAACAGAGAGTAGAACGGATGTAAAAATACGAATTTAACGTCCAAAATGATGATTATGAATATATGTAATATATAACTAAATACCATCTCTCTCCATGTCTTCAGCTCACAAACCCCCCCCCCCCCGATGGCCCTGCAGGCTGGCTGAGCTCCGCCCCCCCCCCTTTTCTGACCGACCCCCAAATGAAGGATGTGAAGAGCCAACGTGGGGAGGAGGAGGGGCGATGCAAAAGGCTTTCATCCTGTAAACTGAAAGGACTTTATCTTGTGACCTGGAGGCGCCCTCTGTGAGGCTGGACACTGATGTGAAGACGGAGAAAAGAAGAAGAAGGAAGTGAGGATAGAGGCTTCGACTGGTAATAGCACAGATAAGAGGATTGTCTGCTGCCGTGGGTTTCAAACATTATCAGCAGCTTAACGGTGTCTGAACATGTGATGCACCTTTGACATCATGGAAATGTTCAATGCAGCATTATTAGAGAACAATGGACGGAGTTTCTCCTTTGAGAACAAGAAGGCCGACGCACAACTGCATCACAACACCCAACGGATAAAGTTCCATCGACTTACAAGCTTTACTACGAAGCTGTACAGCAAGGAAAGTGACATTGTCCAACGACGGCCATCCGTGCGTCGCCATGGCGATCAGACGCCAGTCAATGTCGCTCAGGCTGCGGACCCCATGCTCACACCGTACCCGGTGGATGGGCAACGCGGGCCCCCCCCCCGGACGCAATGCAGGCAGACGTCTTCAGCACGGCTCGACGGCGCGTAATCCCCCCGCAGGAGGCTCCGTGCCCACCGGGGACCTCGCGCCGTGACGTTTGTAGTTAACGACGCGACTCGGCGAGCTCCGGCGCCTCCCTCCTCCTCGGCGGACTGTCAGCGAGGGTCCGACAGTGTTGTTCCTAATTACCTATTTCTCCACTCCTGATCCTGCGGCTGGCATAATTAGTTACCTGGGGCTGCAATCCAATTTGAAGTGATGACAAGAAAGTGATCCATGAAAAAGTAATAAGTTAAATCCAATTTCAGCCTGCCTCTAATTAAATGCACATGGACCTAATGAGTCAAACCCGACCATTTCACTGATAATGGTAATTAGCGGGGTGGGAGTCGCCGCTCTCTCGTCGCCAAACAGGTGAAAGCGGCACGGTATTATTTTAATCACACGTTTCATTCAGTCAATGTAATTTACCGCCTTTTTGACCAGTCGAGTGTGTTTAGCTGCTTCCGAGGCCACGTGTTTGTATACCGAGGCCTGATGAGGACGCCGCCGGCCGTCTTCGCTCACAGGCAGATGAGGGCGTGTGTGTGTGTGTGTGTGTGTGTGTGTGTGTGTGTGTGTGTGTGTGTGTGTGTGTGTGTGTGTGTGTGTGTGTGTGTGTGTGTGTGTGTGTGTGTGTGTGTGTGTGTGTGTGTGTGTGTGTGTGTGTGTGTGTGTGTGTGTGTGTGTGTGTCAACAGAAAGCTCCTCTGCTGGACCGTGAGAGGAGTGAAGCTCCGTCTCACTTCCACGTTTCCCGTCTCCTGCTTTTACCTCCTAAACCCAGTCAGTCAGCAGGGATAAAAAAAGGCGTTTTTCCACAAACAGAAGTGGGGATCGACCACACAACATGCTGATGTGTGTCACCGCACTGGAATGACTGGATGAGCTCAACTGCCCACAGAGAGGTTCTTCTTTTACATTCTGGCCTATTTATTTCATGCTTACATACCGCAGCTTCTAGTGTTCTCTGTCGACATTTAGATGACACGTGGCTGATGTGTGTGTGTGTGTGTGTGTGTGTGTGAGTTGCTTAATCACACACAGTGCGTGGGGAGACATGCCGATTCTAATTTCCTGTGTGTGAGCTGTGCTCAGTGCTTTTCCTCGCACACGGTGTTCTACAGCGAGTTGCACAAGTTCCCCACTTACCTTCCTCTCTCTACTCTCTACTGATGATGTCACGGGGGAATAAACGAGACGTACCTGAAGCTCTGCTGCTTGTCGACGGCTTTGGGAGACTTGCGGCCGGTGTTTTGTTGTTGTTGCTGTTGTTGTTGCTGTTGTTGTTGTTGTTGTTGATGTTGCTGCCGGAGGAGTATCTGCCGGGCCACTTGAAGAGCCTAATAAAGAGAAATGCACAGAGAGATTGTGCTTGTTAAACAGTCCAATAGAAATGCTACAAGTAGATACGTTCAAAGTCCCTTGAGGACGCTGATGCTTATCGTCAGAGCAGATGTGTCTTCCATTAATCTCCCCTCGCCGGCCCGTTGATAACAAACAGCATCTTTTCACTCTCCCATTCAGTCATAAATCTAACGAACCCTCTGCAAACACGGCGGGAACAATGATCGACGTCAAAACAAACTCACGCACACAAAAGAACCTGCAGCGGCCCAGAGGAAATATTCATCTGTTGATAAGTTGTTCTTACGGCAAACAAGCGGTGGGAGACGCTCTGAGCGTCTTCTGCTTCAGCTCAAACTACCCGAAGGAACATCAGTTAAAGGACACGGCCTTCTGCGTGGAAAACTAAATACAGTCCAATCACATGTTTATTGCTCCAGCTACTCCCTTTTCCCTCGCGATAAATAATCAAACATGCCATCCAGAACAAACAAAGCTGGAGAGCCGGGAAGGACACACACACACACACACACACACACACACACACACCGCAGTCTTGAAAACCGTCAGCGATACCAAGAAAAGCAAG